ATTTACACAAAAAATAAACATATTCGTTTATAAAGCAGCAAGTCCCCAGCCATACTGAAATGGCACTTTGGACAATTTTTAAACCGGCTGTATGTCGTACAGCCAGTTACGGTCAATTATACATTTTAAGTCAAAGAGGACTATTTGTAAAATATCATTTTAACACTTTCCCTATTTTTACTATATTTGAGGTCATTCAAAGAAAAGTGGAACAAGCATAACGCTGGGATAGTGACTGCAGAAAAAAATGTAAACAGTGCATACAGCCATTCAATTTTATTAATTTTTGATGATGGTGATAAAAAGAATGGCTCAATTATAATTACTTTGAATTTTTCTTCGGTACATCATCATTCCCACGTTGCATGCATCACTGCAGGTGTAGTTAGTTGGGTTTTTTTACTTTTAGTAAGAGTTTTACAGCACTTGCAACACAATAAGGTCATAAAAGTGTCAACGAAGTTTAGAGGTGTTGCAAGAAAGTTACAAACACAAAAAGGAAGGAAAAGAGATAAGGACGATTAATGTTTGATAGGAAAGAAGAAGCAAACCACACCAGAGCACCCACCAACCAACCACACTGTACTTTCGCTTTTAACGGAGTGGCCCTTTCAAGGAAACACTTGACAACTGAGTAGTTGTTTTCAATGCGCATATATGCAATAATAGATAACTGCTACATCTTAATCAGAAAATAATATTAGAAAAAATGGTGAAATGGTATAGGTTTAACACCCCTATCCACACTATTAGGTTATTTAAGAGGCAGGACCTCCTAGTTTAACGTCCGTCTCCGAAAGAACCGAGCCAAGAGAGAAATTCGTGCAAAGTGCCTTTCCCTAGGACACAACGTCGGGTCGAGCTGTTGCTCGAACCCCCGAACCCGCTATCTCACGATTACGAGTTCGCCTGCCTAACCACTAGGCCACGAACGCCACTAAATAAAATTAGTTTACTTTTACTTTTGATAAGTTTTACAGCACTAGCAACACAATAAGGTCATATAATAAAAGCACTGAAGATAAGAGGTGTTACAAGAGAGTAACAAACACAAAAAAGAAGGAGGAGAGATAAAGACAATAGATGTTTGATTAAAAAAAAAGAAGGGGAAATAAAAGCTAATTATATGCATCTTTTACACCCATATCAACACACCTCTTTTACTCTTAACCGAAACTGAAAAGGGCAAGAGTCAGACTAAAAAGAAGTATTATTTATACGAGTAAAAGTACAAAAGAGTTCATCATACACATATTAGCCTTGTCTTCTTATCTAGAACCTCAACAACAACAGAATTGAATTTGAAAGATAGGCCTACCATTGGAAAATGACGGTCTCAATGAAAATCAAACTGATAGCGTATGGTACTGCGAGAATTCAAAGGGTGACTTTTATATATATATATATAAATTTCACTACAGTATAAAAAAATCACACCCCTTCTCTCACCCTCAAAAGTTAACAGTAATGAGGCAGCAATTAATAAAGGACCAAAGTATAGAACAGTTTGCTCTTTCACTGAGAATGGGCACCCGTCTGCTGGGACATTTCAGTAACCCACTTTCAGCACTTTTTAAGGACCCCCGGGAAAGTGTTGAGTTCCTGCGTGCTGACGGCATCGCTGACCATTTATGAAGCCACAGCGCCAGAAGAGAGAGAGAGAGAGACTGAGAATGGGCACAGTTCCACACTTTCACTGGTGGGATGCCACCTATATATATATATATATATATATAGGCCCTGGCCCTCCACTACTTTGCAGTGTGGATGGAATTTATTCTGTACTTTCTTTACACTTACATCCTTTGGCCTAAAACTCTCTCACACATGTCAAACTATCAGCCCAGAGTCCAGTCTGACAAAAATTGACCCTCACCCAGCACCCCAAAATAACACACACACACACACCGTTCTAGAATGTAGTATTTAACTCTTTATCTCCAGCAAGCCGCTCCCAGCGGCTCGCGATCAGAACCACTGTGCCGGTGAGCCGGCTCCTGCACATTTCTTTACGACGACTTCGACATCATGCACTTTTCGGCAATTGCCGAAAACAGGTCTCATCTGATACCGGAAGTTCATTCATTAGATGAAGAACTATCAAAATAAGTTTGCTAGTTTCCATTTAATGACCCGTTTAACGATGTTTTAGTAATTTTTAGATTTAGCACCAAAAAAGGGACCCAGCGTAGTGGGTTTACCCTCCTCCGAGATAGAGAGTTAAATTTTAGTAAATTTATCAACAGACACAAAAAGTGTCATTTCCAAGATTGTTCCTTTCAAACCTACTTGACTTTGAGATGACCTATTTATTCATGGCAATAAAGACTGTTTTTTAACACTTTATGAAAACAAAATTCCATTTAACTAGGCCTATAGATCATTATGAAAAACAATTTTTAAAACTGCAGGAGATCACTTATAATGTTTTCCATCCAGAAGCTGGCTGAATAAAGTTAAATGTCGATTCAAGAAGCTTACAAAAATGTCTAATTATTGAACTGGACCAGTTACGAATATGAATCATGAGACTAAAGCAAGGGAATAAAGACTGTATATAAAGTAGTTTCTGACTTCACAATAAATCGAATCAGTGCTCCTTTTTTCCGAAACCCACCGAAATTTTCCGAAACCTACCGAAACTGTGATATCTATGAAGAATCAAGGCTAAAAAGAGAAAGGCTTTATAAAAGAGAGAGAAGAGATAGAGACGGAGAATGTTTGTAATACAGAGACAGAAAGAGAGAGAGAGAGAGAGATAGAGAGTGAGAGAGACGAGGTTTTATAAGAGAGAGGGAGATATAGAGAGTTTGTAAGAGACAGACAGTGAGAGAAAGTTAAAGTGGGCATTAACTCTGAATAGTTGAGACAGAGAGAGATAGAGAATGAGGGAGAGAGATATATATAGAGAGAGAGAGATTTTGTGAAAGAGAGACTGTGAGAGAGAGTTATGGGGACGTTAATCTGACGAATAGTTGAAAAAAGTAAATAAAAGAAGCAAGAAAAGAACCCCCCCCCCAAAAAAAAACCCAAAAAAAAACAGCACACACAGAAATACAAAAGTGCTAAATATTTACTAAACATGGATTCCGCAGTATACATTGTTAACCTATTAACACTTTCAGAGCAAAAAATTTTGAAACATTCCTTGCCGTCTTTTTTTCCAATGTTAAAAATTCAGGGTTGTCTGTCAAGGTGGTCCTTAACTTATGTTGAAGTCAGTACGTAGGAGTGCTCCACTGTATTCCAGATTGTATTCTTTCTGTTTCGATAGGTTTCAATAGGTTTAGGAAAAAAGAAGCACCCCACTAAATAAATGCCCATAATGTATTGTTCTTGGACCAGGTCGGGGGGCTGCCCTAAAGTCCAAAAGTATAGGACCCAGGACCCTATCTTTCAGCATTTTACGTGCAAAAAAAAAAAAAGAATCTAATCCAGCTATAATATAAGAATACAGTCGAACCTGCCCTGACGGCCACCTCTATAAGACGGCCACCTGTACAAACGGCCACTTTCCATTTCCCCTCTTGCGTTTTTTCTATATATTTTAACTGTGTAAAACGGGCACCTGTCCAACGCGGCCGCGGCCACCTTGTTTCAACACACA